TAATCGCAGTGACGCTCTTCATTGAATTCTATTTGTCTGTTCATCTTAGGTGCCTTGAATGGAGACAAGATCAATGCCACTATGTATTACGTGATGTCTCATTCCCCCGCCCCGATTCATTGGAGAACGACGACGGATGCGACGAGGCAAGCTCTGTTCTCGGAGCTTTTCTATGCAGAAGGCTGCTATGCGGATCATCAAACCTTGATGTTGGTATTGTGGTTTCTCCCGTGAATGTACTGTAATTATGCGTCACGCATGAAATCAATTCCGATATTTGCTTTCTCGGATGCCTCGGACAGTCAAATTACCAATTTTACCGAGTTAATCTAACCTAACTTAGACTTGAGATGTAACAGCTAATGTGATAGCAGAAGGAACCTGGATTAGGTAGCGTCAAGTTTTGAAGTAAAAATAATTATGGGGAAACCAAAAATAGTAAGAACTCGAATGATGTATTGTAGTGATCGGAAATCCGTCACAATGTTTTGGGATGCCTGATTTTCTGGTCGATTGATTTAATCTACCCGTTTGATCAATTATACCTGCTCATGGGATGTATTGATGGAATGTAAATTTAAAAAGTAAGGATTTTAAAGTTTAGCATGGTGAGATTGCTAGTGCTGTCTAGAAATAAATGTAATGTGCGCCTGCTTCTTGTAACCCTTCGAAACACTAAAAGCTGTCAACGTTTTTTTCTCTTTTATAACTGATCTCGAATTGTTGTTTTTTTTTTCAGCGAATCGGCAGCCTTGTGGGGCGACTTGAAGACGCTGACGTCAGTGAACCGCATTGTGTACTACTGGCTGACGACCCTAGAGAAGCGGGGGTGTCACAAGCTGATCGCTGTGGGTGCCGACGGCGTCGTACGAGCCATGGTGCTCAGCTTCGGCGCCTTCAAGTACTCGAACCACCACCTGGAGTTCAGGACTCCGCCCAAAGATCTGCACCGTGACGTCACATTTCGTCACTTGGCTTACGGGAATGGTACTTTCCTCACTGTGTCGGTCGTCATAAAAGATGACA